TCAAAAAGTCTAAGTGTCAGTTGTATATCAATGTAGTCTATATGCTATTCCTAGTATTGCAGGGCTTTTTGCAGCTCTGGTGGTGGTGTTTCAGAGATTTGCAGCTGATTATAATATTTTATAAAATTCGGCAGCATTGTTCTTAATGCCCCAATAACTATGGGGACCACTGAAATGTATTTCATTCACAGGCAAGTTATTTCTATTCTGTATTTTGTTAATTGTTTCAGGTTTTTTTCTTTAACTCTGGCATCCATGAAACTGCAATGTGAATTATCCAGGCATTTTTCATTTTGTTACTGTTATGTCTGGTGTATTATTCTCTAGGTTTCTGTCCATTTGAATCCAAAATGTAGATACAACTTTTGTAGCTTCTTCGGGTTATTACAAAAAGGTTTCTTCTCCACCATCTTATTTACCGTATTTTTTGCACCATAAGACTCACTTTTTTCCCACAAAACAGGGGGGTGGAAAGTCTGTGCGTCTTACGGAGCGAAGAAAACAGATTATATTTTCCTGTTTTCTTCTCCTAAAAAATTGGTGCGTCTTATGGAAAGGTGCGTCTTATGGAGAACCATCTTATTTACTTTGTATTTGTGTCTTAAAATAAAACTGTTAAGCTTTTGAAATGATTAAAAATGAACTCAGGTCTTGTGCTTTTTCTTATAGCTCTCTAATGAAGGTGGCATTATAGAACTCCTGGAGAAACAGTACCAAGAAAAACTGTTACAAGAAATAGCACAGGTACCAATTCAATGTAGATTATGTTGGTCTAAGTTCAGATGCTATAGGGAAGTTAAACCTGTAAAGTGATGCGTAGGTGGAAGGGAAGAGCCGGGGAGCAGTCTAAACCATGGTTTCTGTGAGAGATTAGAAATGCAAACCAGAATTTGTATTCTAAATTATGTTAGCACAAACTGGTTTCGTATGATATTTCAACTCAGTTAAAAAGTGGTATTCTCTCTCTTATTGTTTGACACTGAATGGTCTGATTGTTTGTGTGCGTATTGTTCACTGTTCCACTCCAACATTTCTCTAGATAATCCCAGTATATTTTTGTGTTTGCATTTTAATTGAATGTCTTGTCTTTGCAACATTATAGATAGCCAGAGATTAAAGTCCTCAATTCTGTTGAATACTTGTTTTTATTTGTGTGTAATTGGAGTGTAGTTTAGCATTCGCACTGACTGATGAATTTACTTTTCATTGATTCTTATAGCTCATCTCCATGCCGTAATCTCTTGTTTTTAAGGTGGTTGTAACCATGAGCGTACAATTTGCACAGCAGAATGAACTTGAACGAATTGCTAATCTAAAGGAGAAAGAAATGTCAGTGATGGTACCAATGCAAATTGAACAGGAAAATAATTCCAGTAGAAGAGAAATTTCTATAGAATTAGATAGAGATAGAAATGAAAAGAGGGACGTGGCACATGAAGAATTCAAGTCTCTTAGTAGAGAGATCAGTGAAGAGTATGGTGAAACTTTGTCACTTGAAGGACAAATTCAACTAGATGTTAAGCCTACTGAGATACTTAGTCTACGCAGTTTTGATTCAAGCCTCGCAACAGGCTCTTCCTCAAATGATACTGAGCTTATGCAAAACAGATCTCTGGTAAGTTACATATATTTTTTTAAATTAAAAACCATCTCTGGTAAGTTAAATAGATTTTTTAAAATTACTTTGAAAACCATAGCTCACAATATTCTCAAATTTTGTTTGTCGCCAGTGCATAATTAGCAACTACTTGTTCTGCAACACAGTGGCTGAAATCCTGCTTACACAACTTCACCATGTAAAACTGATGATGTTGTAAGCTGCAGCAATTCTTCAGAAATAAAATATTTCCAGTTCCTGCCCCTGCCCCTGGAGAGCCTGAGGCTTCTGTGGAAGCCCTTTTATTGTATAGAAGTCATTGAGGGCTCATAGGGATGGGGTGGCACTGCGGGCTAAACCTCAGAAGTCTTTGTGTGCTGCAGGGTCAGAAGGCCAGCAGTCGTAAGATTGAATCCATGCAACGGAGTGAGCTCCTGTCGCTTTGTCCCAGCTCCTCGCCAAACTAGCAGTTCAAAAGCATGCAAATGCGAGTAGATAAATAGGTACCATCTCGGTGGGAAGGTAAAATGGCGTTCCCTAGTCATGATGGCCACGTGACAACGGAAACTGTCTTCGGACAAGCTGTGGCTCTACAGCTTGAAAATGGGATGAGCACCACCCTCTAGAGTCTGACTGGGCTAAAAATGTCAAGGGGAACCTTTACCTTTACATCGAGGGCTAAGGGACAAATAAGGGAAAGTCTTCACTTTCTGAACACTGCTACTCTCATCCCAGAACCCCTAACAGCTTCCCCATGATGAAAGATTCCCTAGGAGCCTCAGGGACTGGAATCAGAAATGTTTTGTTTCTGATAAATCTGCACCGTTGTTGACATCATCTGTGTGAACAGGATTTCAGCCATTAATAACATTGAGGGAGGAGAATATTTGCAATTGTGGAAGATGTTAATCCATTTTTTAATGTTCTCTAATGTAAAATTGGATTATAATACAAAATAAGATATAAAAACTAGTGAAATATCTTTATAGCCCTGAAACGTTTGTGTGTTTCTAGCTACATATATAATAGTTAATTCATATGAAAGCAGTGCACATATTTCTTAACTATGAAGAGTACAAAGTTATGCATGTTTCCTGAGAAACAAGTCGCTCTGTTCAATAGGTTTACATCTTAGTAACTGTGCTTAGAATTACAGTGCAAAGAAAAATGTAGTAATTTGTTATTTGAATAAGTTTCCATAGGCGCACGTTATGTTAGCATTCCTGGGATCATTATCACCTTGTACTCATTTAGAAGTTTGGGCACACATTTTTAAAAGGGTTCAGCTGAAGAGATTTGAGTTTTAACTTAGTCCCTGTTGTAAACTCTGTGACTGACTAGCTTTGGCTACAGTTCAATCAGTTCTATGATTGAATTACAACATGATTACAAATTTTATACCTGAAAGTAGGACCATTTTTAACACTTCACAACAAAAATTACAGGTTACAAGTGATGTTTCAACCTCCAGCATAGTAGCTCCAAGTCAGATATTGTTATATGAAGAACGTTTGGAAGATATGCGTCAAGAGCTTGTCCGTCAGTACCAAGAACATCAGCAGGCAACAGAAATGCTGAAACAGGGTCACATGCAGCAAATGGAATGGCAGAAAGAAAATCAAGAGCTTCTCCTTGCAGAACTTGATAGACTTAAAGTACAATTAGCAGAGGTAATGTGAACTGTGACAGATAAGAGGTGGAACTATGTAGAGTAGACAGAGATACCTCCACCATGGCTTTATATAACCTTACTTCATATGTATACAAAACAATTGATTTTAATTGGCATATAGTTTGCTAATATTCTTTTAATATAGAGATATTATCTATCTTGTCACCGTGGATGTAGTACATGTAAAAGCAGTTTCAATGCTAATTCATAAATTCAGCAGTTGCCTTTCTCTTTTTCAGTGACAGCTCTTAGTACCAAGTTAATCTTCCATTTTTAAAATTGCCCAGTTATGGTGAAGACTGATTTAACCCCTGACATCCAAATGGGATGGAAAAATGATTAACCTGTGACTGCAATGAAATATTTTAATACCCACCCATATATAAGGAAGGAAGGAAGTCCCAGAGGGTCATTTATTAATTTCCATCTTCTGAAATAATTGATAGAGCAGTAAAATTATATTTGTTCCTCTTTGTATGTAAAACTTGTGCAAGGATGTTTTATTCTTAGAGTGCCATGAACTGCTTTTACAATGATCGTATCCATGTCATTCATCATTTTGTCTTCGTTCTAATATGTGAGAATTCTTTTTTAGAGTGTCACACTGGATAATGAAAACATACTCACAGAAAGAGAACAGGTACTTTTAGAGGAACTAGAATCACTGAAGAAGCAGCTAATATTTGGAAGAGAAAAGCTACCCTGTGAGCTGAAAGAGAATAGTACTCAAACACAGGTAGTACTGAATAGCCTTTGGCTCCCTTTAGAAGCTGTGGAATGTAAATAGAATAACATGGCTATCATTGCTCTTTTCAGCACATGACATTTTCCTAGTGACTTGTCAGATTTACCTAAATGTGGGTTGAACAAGTGGAAAGGCGGGGCTTAGACTGCTGATATTATATTGAAAGCAAATTCTAATTTTAATGTTGCTGTAGTAACAACCAACAAAGAACTAAGAAGTTGTTTACTTAGAACAACAAACTTGGTTCTTATAGGCTATGACTAAACTGCTTCAGTCTCCGGTGTTAGGTGTCTGATAACAGGAGAGTTAATAATTGTTTAAAATTACATGAAGCTTGTGAATTATGTGTTTTCTTTTTATAACAAGATGGTGAATCAGAACACCAAACAGACTGCAGTATGACAGGATTTCTTTGTCTCTTTTCCTCTCTGCCATTGCCCAAAATTACCCAGGATGAAAATGCATGTCAGACTGAACCCAAAGATCATATCTCAGAAGGTGAAGATGGAGGAGAAAAGAACGAAGAAATTTCTCCAAATACCCTTGGAAAAGAAAGGTATGCTGTCAAGAAGGCTATCTTTGATTCAGACTGATACTTTTCGTGCTAGCAAGCAGAAGGACTATTTTTAATCTTTTGAATTACACAACTTTAGATATAATATTGTAGAACTGTATACTTGTACTTTGACAGGAGTGACTGCAATCCATGTTTGATTAAAATTGGCATAGGTTAAATCCTTTGAATGTCGAATTAAAGATTCTGTGGGAAACAATTTTCAAATGTAATCCCTGAACTGAATAAATACTGTATTTTTACTTGGGATTAATAGCCATTCTTGATTTGTTATAATATATGTAAAACTAGTTTGTCCATGTGCAAAAAAAATTAGCTCATGATAATTTTATTCTAAATTTCTGTTTACATTATGGCTTTCCACATTAGTAATCTTGTTGATTCAGTAAATATAACCAGGAAGATTATATGACACAGAATTATGCAGTGCTTTAAAGCAATATCTGTACAGTTATTTTATGGTGAAGTCCCCATCAGATTTTGCGATGCAGGGAGCTTTTTAAGTATTGCTTTAAAAACTGACTTATTGAGTTAATTCCTGTTCTTGTGACTTCCCCACAATCCTTTGCACTTCTGTGTGTTTTCCTGTTTAACAAACCTTCCTTCTTGATGGATTACCCAGACAAGTTTTATGCTATAAATCAAGACTGTTCATGTACAGTATTGTCAGAATTTATGTGTGGAACTGGCCAAACTGACATTAAGCTATCTGAAGCCATGCTGAATCGAAACCCTTCCCAGCCTAGGAATGTTGAAAATGACTTAGAACTACCTGAACTTTGGCCTGTATTTGTGCCAACATAGTGGCTATATGTCTGGGTCAAGTGGAATTCGGATCTGGCTTCCTCTCCTTCTCTGCTTCCTTTTAAAATGTTCTCCTGGTTTCTCTTAGCCAACATATCAGTTGTGCTGGCAGTGCTGAGATTAGCCAGCACAAGGAGTTGTGCTAGCTTAAGATGCTTTTTCCCATTCCAAACCCACTACAGCTGGCATATCTATTCTATGTTGCCAGTGCTTACTGTTACTGAGTTCTTCAGAATGCCCCCGTTTTTACTTGAATTAATTATGCAGCATTTCATGTGCTCTAAAACGAAGGCTCCTTTTCACTGAAAAGCACAGATTCTGGAAGCAATTAACATGTTCTTATTCCTTTCATTTTGCATATTCAGATGTGCCTTGCAGAAAGCCTATAACAGACTGCTGAAGATTCTGCTGGAGATTGTGAAAACTACTGCAGCTGTAGAAGAAACCATTGGCCGCCATGTTGTGGGACTTCTAGATCGGTCATCAAAATGTCAGTTACCTTTTAAAAGTCTCACGTGGGAGGGAAGGACAGAGGATCCAATGAAACCAAACGTTCATGTGGAGTATGAAGCAGGTACTTGCAATAAGGTTATGTTCCATGCTGCTTTCATTTGATAAACATTTGTTTAGCAAGTGTGATGCCAAGATCAAGTTTGTTTAGAGCTCTAGAATTTGGCTTTAAAGGCACACTGATTTCAGTGGTAAATTTGATTCTAAGACAAAGTCTAAGACAAATTCAGTATTTGGGACTGAACGATTTCTTTGGAATACAAGTGATATATCATAGCATATAGTTGTCCATGTAAACACATGAGCTTCTGTAGGCTCCAGCCAAACAAGATGAATGTGAGTCTTTAGAAGATGCATGTACACTTTTATGAGAATGCTAACATTTAACAGAAACTAAATATTTTAATATATTTGCTCTTAGCCTTGGCATAGAACTCAGCTCTCTAGTAGTTCATAATTCTGAGAAAGAAAATCAACTTGAGTCCACAATTTGTGCTGAAATCCTTTTGCTTTGTTATGCATGCAGAAGGCAAATGGCATAACTTTTTGTGCTTTCCAGTTGGCAGTTAATGACTCCATACTGGGATTCTCGACTTCAAGCCACACACACTCATATCCCAGCAATGACTTGTAAAGTGACAGAATTTTATGCTATTTGTCTTCTGATGCATAACAAGGCAACAGGATTTCAGTCTATATTAGACATGCTTAGATGAGGCACCAGTTTGCACTTCTAATTCCAAAACAGGTAGATAATTGAATAGAATGAAGGAGCAAGTACATTTTAACAGAAATGTTTGTGTCACAGCAACAGTCATCTCAAAATTGTCATAATGTCACTCATTTGGCACTCTTCTTTTCACGTAGATGTGATAAGTATTATGTGCAACCTTTGATATTATTGCCTATAATAACGTTCAAGACAGTTTCTTGTCTTGGACTAATCCTCTATAAATAAGGCAACATTTCTGCAGCAGCAAGTACTCCTAGTACATAAGCACTAATTCTGCAAATATTTTAAATAACGACTTAAATATTTGATACGTTCATTGCTGACAACGAGAGTTTGAAGCTACATCTTGAAATGGGGCTTTAGTTCCCTGAGATAAAGAAATCAGGTTGCACTGATGTAAATTATAGTAGACATATAGTGCTGTGTGACACTTAACCAAACTATGGAAAGAAAGTGAAAAAAGAAAGAAGGATGAGTGAGCATGGAAGTTGACAACACACTGCCTATTGTTTAACCATAATGAAGAGATTAGAAATGTAGCAACTACAGTGGGCTTTGCTAATGACCAGCTTTGAGTTCTGGTTTCAAAAGAGAGAGAGAGGTTTTCTCAGAAGACAGGAACATTAGTAGATCTTAAACACTCTAAAATATTTATCTCTGTACGTACTATTCAGATGATATTTCAAAACTGTATGTTGTAAAAAAGCAGAACAAGCATATTTGTTTATCTTACTTTGAATAAACTAATATATGAGATAAATGCTAAGTAATGATTTTGAGAATGGTTCTGAAAAGGAATTTTCCAGTTTGGCTGTTTAATCTCTTACAGTCAATCCTCGACTTACGAACGGCTCTAGTTACGAACATTTCGACTTATGAAGCGCTCTCATAGGAAAATATTCCCTCGACTTGCGAACTGAGGCTCGAGTTACAAACTGAAAAAAGGCAGGGTAAAAGGGCGAGAAATTCAAACAGTGGCGAAGAGGCTGCTTCTTTGTAGTTCTTTCGCCCCAACGGTTAGGAAAAGGGAGGCTCAGCCTCCTGAGCTTCCACTGCTGCTGCTGCTGCCACTGTGAGGCGAGTCGCCGGACCATCCCGGCTGGGCTCAGCCTCCTGGGCCACCATGCTGCTGTGACCGCCACTGCCAGAAGCTTCCCCGGCTTCCCCACTGCCTTTCTACGCCGCCGCTTCTGGGCCTGGACCTCTGCCGCCGCTACCGGGGCTGCTCCCGAGTGTGGGGGGTTGGAGACTGAATTGCCTTTCTCTCCTGTCCCGCGGCTTCTCCCGAAGGGCTGCTCCCACGAATGTGTGGGGGTGGAGACTGGATTGACTTTCTCCCTGCCCCGCGGCTTCTCCCGAAGGGCTGCTCCCAAGCAGTCCTGGCCCGGCAGCAGCGGTAGAGCCCTGGCCTGGCAGCAGCGGTGGAGGTAAGGTGCTGCTTTTTCCTTTTTTATTTTTATTTTTCTTTTGCAGGGTGGGATTGGGCTGGTGGGGTTGTTTTTTTGCAGGCCCAGGGGCTGGCAGTGTTTGGTGCTTTTTTTGTATTTTTTTATTTGGCTGGAACGGATTAACGGATTTCAATGCATTCCTATGGGAAATGGGAAATCGACTTAACAAACTTTTCAACTTACGAACGCTGTTCCAGAACAGATTAAGTTCGTAAGTCAAGGGTTGACTGTATTTGGTGCTGAAAGCAAATTGGGAATTATAGTCCCAAACTAAGCATTTATCAGTGTATGCAATTTATACACTTCCAGATAGTTTGAGTTTTGTTATTGATGGTGCTACTACATTAACACTGGCCAAAAAGAAAATGAAATATGTATGTTTTCTGTTCTATGTGTTTCCTTCACTTTGCTGAATATGGCTTGCCTGTTTGTGGCAGAATAGTTCTTGGAAATCTGCAAATTGTATTTGGTTTTCTAATGACAGAATGACCCAGTGTCTGTAGGGACATATAAAACCACAATTTGAAATAGACAGAGAAAGAAGCTGTAGAGGAGGAAGTTTAAGAGAAGTTTCTCCAAAGAGTTTCAAAAGTGTGTTCTTGAAGGCAACAACCGTAAGTTTCAAAAATGTTTTAGAATATATTAGAATTTTGGAAGAAGGTGACACAGGTATTTCAGAGTGGTTGTGTAAAAAGTTGTAATACTGAGATCAACAGCTTTGGTAGATCTAGTTTCTTCCCCCAGGTTGCCAAAATTCAGGAGTAATCATGAAAGATGCATTAAAAACATTTGCTCCTTGGGATTTTTCTCTCTCTCCACAACTGAATTTCCACTACAGTATATTTCAAGAAGATAGACTACTTGCTTTAAATGGTCTTTCTCCCTAGCTGTTGCCCAAATTCAGTGGCGTAATCTGCCACCAACATTCAATGGAAAAAATTTAGGTGGCTTTACTGGGCTGTGAAACACTCTTGGTGGCTTCCACCATTGTTGCAAAAGATTTGGAAAAATACACTTACAGTATTTTCTCCAAAAACAAAAAACGGGTTATCTGGTGAACCAACACATTCTTGTACTCCAAGTTTGGATGACCTTTGGCCTACAATCTGTCAGCCTAGGGCATGGGGTTTGGAGAGTTGTAGTCCAAGAACCTTCATCTGATTATATCTTCCAGTTCTTGCTTTGGTTATTTTCTGAAACTTAACAGAGAAATAGATCTTTAAAAAAATTAAGGAGGTGGCATTTTGTTTGTTTGAGTGAGTGAGTGAGTGATTGCTGTTTTAGTTTGATAGCTGTTGTTTGAGTTAGGAAAGAGTCCCTCCGGATACTCTTGTGACATGTTACCAGATCCTGGTCAGTTAGATTTAGTTGAACATTAATTACTTTAATGCTTGCCTACCGGGTTTGGTAGGTGGGGAAAGCAGAGGAAATCTTGTTACGCCTGTTAAAGGAAGTGTTGCTATTCTGCCTGAGCAGTTTACCTAACCCCATAGTATCCCAGATGTTTTGTGTTGTTCCAACTATTACTTTGCTAAATTTTCCTCATGGGACTCTCCTGCATAAATAGTAGAGCATCACGACTTTGGAAGAAGAAGAATAGACAGCACGCAATCATCTATTCTATTCCTCTTGCTGCTCCAAAATATTGTTCTTATCATAGGGTTCTTCTCCCTTAAATGGGCATGTGCAATAATATGAGAATGCACAATAACTGTTGCCATGAAATTGAGAAGGCTTCCATTCTACCTTGTTAAGATCACCAGAGAGCCAAAACACAGGGAAGAATAAAGTGGGCATCCACATAATGCAGAAAGGTGATGTTACATGCTGTCTCAAAACACCTCAACAGACATTTCACCTTATTTTGCTAGAAACATCTGATACGCACTGAATGCCTGGAACACTTGTGCCTCATCAAATCAGAACCAGAACCTGCACAAAGTGCCACCAACCATCAATTTGGAGAAACATGTGGATTTTTATTAGATTATTGAGTGAATACAATTTATTATGGAGAAAAAGCTAATTTGTGACTGCCACATTCAGATATTTGTTTTCTGAAGATAAAATGAAGTCATTCTGGAACTGCTTCATGTTTCAGACAGTCATGATGACTCTTAGGTTGGATAATTGTGAAGATCAGCTATTTGTCCACTGGACAACCAGTCCTATCCTGGCAGACTGAGATAGATGAGGTTTGTTTGGGAACGAAACAGAAGAGGTACAGAGGATTCTGTACTGGATTTCCCAATATTTTAATTCTAACTTTTAAAAACAACCATGGAATGAAGGCAAATTGGATCAGGGCATAGGTTTCCTGCTCTCTTTCGTGTTTCATTGGTATAATTCACATACTGTACAGAGATGGTCAAAACAGTTTCCAGTCATGCAACTCTTGTCTTATCTGTTTTGGCCCTCAGTCAATTATTTTTGTCATTTCTGCTTGTTGGAGCATAAGGAATGGCTGTAGTAAAACAACAAGACCATACTTGCCGTCTTAAACTTGTGACAACTTGTCTCATAATTTAAAAATAAACACTGGTGAACCTTGTCATGCTGATTTATAGAGTATAGAATTTAATGACATGGGATTGTTTGCTAGTGTTTCATTATGATTGTATTATAATGCAAACTATTCATTTTTGGGAGAGATGGAGTGGAAAGTATAAGTATAAAAACTTTTTTTTGTTTTTACATTTACTTGAAAATATATATGTAAAACCTAGGACTTATTTAACATGGGGAGTTACTATTATATGTTGTTTCAATTTTAAATGTTGGTGCTGATAATAATCATTATGCGTGAGTTAGAGGCAGTGAGCACTGAGTTTGAGTTCTTCTGTCTTGGAAAAGAAGAGTTGTGAGAGAAAATATAATCTTGTA